CAAATGCACGTTTTACACGACCCGGACGATCTGGTGTGGGAAAGAAATTTCCGCCGAGGGTGTAGCGCAATCGCCGAGCCGAGTGCAAGGCCTGTGCGGGCTCGAGCCACCGCAGACCGCTGCGGACCTCCAGCAGTTCCTGTGCGCGACGAATTGGATGCGTGCGAACATCCCTCAGTACACCGAGCTAGTTGCCCCGTTGACGAGGTTGATGGATATCGCGGCCAATGCAGCAGACCCCCGCAAGAAAACCGCGTTGACAAGAGTGGCATTGAGTTCAGTCGGATGGGCCGAGGATCATTTGACCTGTTTCGAGCGACGCTACAGTGCATGGTGCCTCTGTCCCACCCGGACCCTGATAAGATGGTGTGCCTCTACACAGATGCAAGCGAGGGGTTTTGGGGGGCAGTCGCAACGCAGGATCAAATCAGGATCTCGCACTGCCTGCAAATGACCAGCGACACGAGCCGTTGAGTTTCCTGAGTGGCGCTTTCCGAGGTTCGAGCAAGCGATGGCCGGTTGTCGAGAAGGAGGCGTTTGCGGTGGTTGAGTCCTGCAAACAATTGGAATGCCTCCTGATTCGGCCCGGCGGTTTTCGGCTCTTTACCGACCATCGCAATATAGTGTACATGTTCAACCCGTTGAGGTCGAACTCGAACATGGCCAAGTATCAGGCCCACAAGCTTCAGCGGTGGGCGCTGACAATGACAACATTTCCATATGTGGTGGAATGTGTCGCCGGGGAAGACAATCTATGGGCCGACCTCCTCAGCAGATGGGGCAGTTTAGCGGGGCCCGACCGAGGCGCCCGAATGCAGAAACTGGCATTAGTTTCCTCGTTACGTGCCGAGGAATTCGTATGGCCGACGGCGAATGCGATCACGGCATTACAACGTGAACACCCCGAGCGTGAGCGATGTTCGACCTGGAGCGCCGAGAAGAAATGTTTTTTGTCGGCCTCGGGGTAGATTTGGATCCCTGACGATGCGCTGGACATGCAAGTGCGCATATGTGTGGTAGCTCATGCGGGCGTGGCTGGTCACCGCCGCGTGGAAGCAACAACTGCCTCGGTAGCCGACATGTTCGATTGGCCGACCCTGAAAGCCAACGTGAAGAATTTCGTCCGCGCATGTCTCCATTGCATGGAGAGTCTGTGCCTCGGCCTTGGAGCGAAGCATTGCATGCGACCAAGCCCAACGAGCTAATCCATTTCGACTGGGTTTCGTTTCCGGAGGCCGAGGATGCCTTAAAAATGTGCTAGTCATCAAAGGTGATATGTTCGTACGCCTCCACGCGAGTGCATCGGCAACGGCTGTCGAAACCGCCTCGGCGCTGATGGAGTTGTTCGGTGTGTTCGGCGTTGAGAAGACCTGGGTGTCCGACTGTGGGTACCATTTCAAGAATGAACTCATTAACACGATTGGTCGGATGTTCGGGGTCCATCACCATTTTGTCACGCCTCACTCCCCAATGGAACGGTCGAGGTGGTGAACCGAGTCATCGTGGGACACTCAAGGCATTGTGCAGCGAGATGCGCCTGCGCCCCTTGGAGTGGCCTATGGTGTTACCGCTAGTCCAATCGGCTTTGAACGAATAACTGTTTGACCGTCTGGGCGGAATTGCACCAACGAAAGCGTTTACTGGCCTTCCGTCGACTCCTCCATTGTCTGGCTTAGTCCATCCGGAGGAAGCTCGCGAAACTACAATCGATTGGGTGAAGACAGAGACTACACGCCATATAACCGGGCTTGCCGAGGCTTTGTGTACGATGCACAAAACGGTAGTAGCAACAACCGGCGTGAAGCGCGCGAAGGCCAGAACTTAGCGCAATGGCAAGCGTTCGCCCGGTTTGCTTTGGGCGATTTTGTTCTCGTGGCTCGGGCGCTTCAGCATCCGGGCAAGTTATGCTTGCGTTGGAAAGGACCATGCCGTGTCGTGAAGGAGGTCTTGGACAATTTTTTTGGAAGTGCAACAGCTGGTGCCACCAGGCGAAACGTCTTTGCACCATACCAGCCGCCTCCGGCTTTACTGTGAAGGCGGTCGAGACATTGATGAAGACCTGAAGGCGCAAATTGCATTCAGGGATGAAGGTTTCTACGTTGAAGCTCTTTAAGACCTCCGTATGAGTGATGGTGCCTGGTAAGTGAAGGTCAAGTGGCTCGGTCTCGATGATCTTGAGTCATCTTGGGAGCTAGCTCTGTCCATCTACGAAGACGTCCCAGTACTCTTTCGGCGCAGGGCTATGAGCCGCCTCGATGATTACGGTGTGGGCGAAATGCTTGACGGCATGGAGCGTGCGTTTGGCCACCCGTTGTGGGGGGGAAGTGTTCTCGGCCGTGCCTCGGATTAACTACCCGTGCAAGTGTGTGTGCAGTTGACAGTGAGTTCAGTCGAGTCCTATTTTTAGACTCGCCAACGGAGCAACTAATTAGTCCCTCAGTGGATCCTATTTAGGCCTAGGCTAGGACTTACCGAATCTCCCTTGGTACACTGTAACTGTATTGACTGTGATGCCTGGATTACAGCTAAGCGATTCGCTGGTTGATGGGCACATAACCTGAATGATAATGAAGAGACTTTTGGTTTTTTATCGAAGTATACCGTCGTGAGCACGGTAGCTGGTTGTGCAAGCCGGCGCAGACAACACGAGGTGAAAACACCGACTTCAATATTACCGATATCTCACCGACCGACCTCAAGTGTACAATATGGAAGAGTTTAAAGAAGTATCTGGTCGAACACGTTCTACCTGTAGTTGCTGGCATGACCAAGGCATGGGACATCATGTTAAGTACTCCGCTCCAGGGTTTTCCGACCTACAACCAATCAAAAAGGTATAGGCCAACGTCAAGGGCAAAATTGGACGTCAGTATATCTCAACTACCTACTTTCAAGACGTTCGCGGCGTGCCTTCTTCGAGTTGGACCCCTCCGTCATCCACAGCACGGTGCAAGCTTCGAGGCAAAGCTCCTTGAGCTTGATAGAACTCTCCGTACGGCTGAAGCTATGGATGCTATCAGTTCTGATCAAGACAGTGAAGCAGTCCAAGCAACAAGCGCAAGTAGCAACCAAGCACTGTCGTGGAATCGGCCAGGCTTGTCTGAAAATGATCCAGGACGCACATCCACCGACATAAAACGCGTTGACGCAGATTTGCAAAGAACCATTGATAATACTGGGGGAGTCCCAGCATTCCGTCGGAATCTTCGTTGTTTATGGTAAGTACGTTGAATTTGAATTGATTGGACAGGGTCGCCACATCAATACAAGTGGCTGAAACAGCCTGAATGGTAGCAGTAACCACGAGGTGGGCATTGGCCATTGACCTCAATCAAACATTTTGATTCGTGAATACTGAAATTTGATTTCAAACACACTGAAAAATACACAGTACATTGTATTCAGTGCCAAAGCGTTGACTAGCGTGGAGTCGACGTTCCCCGACCAGGCCCTAATGACCTGGTAAGAAGCGTTGCGCGAAGTAAAATCCGATAGGGGAAGGAAAATAGCTCAGTGTAGAGCATCGGTTTCTTAACTCAAAGGTCGCGGGTTAAGGATTTATCCGTCCCTCCTGGGGAATCCGGATAACAAGGGCTGCGTACGAAAACGAGGACCGAACTTCCAAGAAGATCGGTCGAAGCACGGGGTATGAAGCATTGAGCGAAGTAAAAATCCGAAGACTACACACCGCCCCTGGTGGAGCAGGCGCATTACAATTGGCGAAGCGGTTCCACAACATGTGGTTCTAGTATCGGCCCTCGCGGAGGAATGTCTTAAACAAATGATAATCCAAAACTCAATTATCCGAAGATTACACACCGCCCCTGGTCGAGCAGGCGCGTTACAATTGGCGAAGCGGTTCATTGAGTTTGGATTAACATTTGTTTACGTACAGGTAAGCGGCAGTTCCACAACATGTGGTTCTACGATCAGCCCTCACGGAGGTAACTGTAAACAAATGATACTCCAAACTCACAGTAAATTAACCATCGGTCTTGGGGTGGATACTGTATGTCGCCCCAACCTCGAAATACCGCACAAAACTGTCAACATACGGGGCTTTAGCGTGCGCACCACCCTTCCGTTGTTTGGGTGGCCGAGCCATCACAGAGCTGTGCTGCTTCCTCTTCGGAGAATTAGGCAAAGGCAAAGCGTCGACGCCGTACTTGCAGTGGACATTACATTAACAAAAGCGTCGACGGTTTTGCTGGCGTGCCTACCATCTGTTCGTCATCCGAACATGGTATGGGCTAAGTGAAAACCAGCACCAAATATGAATCCCACTCTTCACATGCAAAAAGCGTCGACAGGCATGAAGTCGACATTCCCCGACCACGGCTAAACTAGCATCAGTCATTCTTGAATTCACGTTGCCATGGTCAAAGCTGCCTTCGTCCCTCTTGCCGTTGTCGCCTCCGCCACAGAGGCTTTTGACATCAACATCATCAACGGCACCGAAGCCCCCATTGGCAAGTTCTTGTACACAACGGGTTTCCGCACCACGGACATCAGCGAAAACCACTGCGTGGGGGCGCTGATCGCCCCAAAATACGTGTTGACCGGCGCCACGTGCGTCCACACGTCGCTGACGTACTCGTCTGTGGGGTCACACTATTTGTCGGGGGACAGGGACGGCGAGCGCATCAAGATCGTCAAGCAGACCAAGCACCCTCTGTTCAACCACCACGAGTTTGATTTTGCCATCTTTGAACTGGAAACCGCGAGCAAAATCGCGCCGGTGAAAGTGAACTTTGACCCGGTGGTCACCCCCGGCTCCTGGTCGACTGTGCGCGGGTGGGGCATTTTCTCCGCCGCGGAAACTCCTTCGCCTGTTCTGCTCGAAGCTGACGTCAAGGTCTGGGACAACGTAGAATGCGCCAAGGCCGTCGAGCCATATGGACCCCTCGCCGACTCGCACATTTGTGCCGGCGGCGCTGACAAGGACTGGTGCGGCGGCGACAACGGTGCCCCGCTGATCGTCAACAAGGCTGGCGAGGACTACGTCGTGGGGCTGGCGAGCTGGGGCGGCCCTTGTGCCACCAAGAACGTGCCCGGGATCTACTCGCGCACGTCCAGCGCCCGCGACTTTATCGAGCCGTACTTGCCCATCAACCCCGTGCCCACCACCACCAAGCCGTCGTGCTAAACGAGAACACGTGACATCCAACCGTGCCGTGCAATACTATGTGTGACAGAGTAATGAAATGTCATTTCGTGCAATGCTTCGTGTTTTGTTGATGATGTACGGCTTTTACGCCTCATCGAATGGATGGGGGTTCATGCATCTGGCCACTCGTCTTTGTGACTAACGCTAACGTTACTAGTATATGGTGAGTGTATCCACTGAGCCTCTGTTTGACTCCCCGTGCCTGAGTGTGGGTAGCCGAATGTTGGTCACACACGACATTTCAAGAGTGTTACATATGACCTGGATCCGGAGGGGCATACTCTGGAGTATGTTCTGAGCTGATGGTACACTGTACGATGCATGACTTGTAGAGAGTAGTGATGTGAAAGGAGGGAACTGACTGATTGACTGGATAATGAAGTTACTTTTGGATTTGTGATCGAGGTCACCGTTATGAACACGGTAGTCGTCGGTTACGAACACCAGCGCAAGACAACAGTGAGTGTACAGTTGTTAACTGTAACCACAACCTTCTCGCCCTATGTACTGTAGTACTGTATGTCAATGCCAGTGAGCTGACGGTGTCTATAGTTTGCTCCCACGCCCAACGACTAACGTTACTGTAGCACAGTACTTCGAAGTATTAATATATTACTGGAACTTACTGAACTACTAGTATTATTAATAGTTACCTTGAATACATTTTCCAAATGTGAACAAAATACTTCGACGTACTTTCACGAGACGAAGCACACACAGTGCCCCTATTAGTTGATAGGTAGTAACTAATAGTAGTACTAGTATTAACAACGCATCAGTACTTTGTGCGCAAGAGGTCAGGATGAGGATGTCATACAAGTCGACTAAGCCCCATGGAGCGAGGGGGGTCCCAAACAAGGAGGAGAACTCAATTGCCTCATATATGGCTCTCTTGGAGACGAAGAAGGAATCCGATGCGTTGGTTTCAGTCCCCGGGATATAGTGGGCATTGCGAGGGAGGGGCTTCGAGAGGTATTGCCAGGGCGACAGAGCCTCCTTTCCACGGACAGTTCAATTGAAAAGCTACCACTTCGAGGGCGTGGGGGTCGGCCTGCGCGGAGAGAGAAGCGAGGGGGTATATAGGTCCGTACTAGCGCCCGCCGCGTATGGTAAGTCGTGAACTCGCGTAGAAGTATGCACAGTACCAGAGCTGGAGGGAAAAGTGGGAGGCCTACGTATTTGGTCTATAGTTGTCATGTATTGCTGCGTAGCAGTCGTTCTATATGCTGTGTAGCGTTAGGACGAGTGGCCATATCTTATGGGAAAGGCCATCGTAGGCAACACAGTGGGGGAGCCGGAAATCCAAGGCTCGATGCGGTAGCACAGGAAGGAGATATAGTCTCCCGTGTCGAGGGAGCGTTGAGGGGGTCGAAGGTCTGCGGACAGAAGGTGTGATATCAAGAAGCACCGCAGAGGATTCGAAAGGGAAGGTGAAGTCAAACATATATGAACCACTGTAGACTTCAATATTGTAAGGTTTTGCTCGGCCTTCGTTTGCTACAACAATCTGTACCTCCTCCCTTGTAACTGCGAACAAGTTAGCTTACGTAGCCATGTTTACAACTCTCAAAGCAATCGTATCAACACTTGGCGCGCAGAAACCCATCCACAGCCGCTTCCACGCGTTGATGGGCCCACGTAATGTGCCCGTCGTCTCCCGCGCGACGCGCATACATGTCGCGGCAGTGCGACGTGCCGAGAATGTCCACCACCTCGGACGCAGGGTTCGTGGACCCCGTGGCGTTGGTTAGGCCAAGCGCGGCCCACGGATCGATGGTGCCCGTGGGGAGCACAACATTGGCCACATTCAGGTTGAACCCGCCGTACTTTTTATTCGTGGCTTCGACGTTGGCAGGAGCGTTGGTGATATTGAACGCATCCCGACACATATATGCGTGCACGCGGTCGGGCGTGACAAACTTGAGGGGGGAAAACGCACCCTTGGCATTGGCTGTAGTTTGGCCGTAGCCGAATTCAGCACATGTTTGGTAGCTCCACTGGCGGTAGATTCCCGTGGTGGTGAGCGACGTGTTCTTGGCATAGTCATACGCGCCAGCAAAGTTGTTGTACGTGCATCGGCCACTCGCCACCGTCCGGTTGTAAAATCTAGATAGCTTTTCTACAGGACTGGGCCCTGCGCCGGCAAAGGCATTGCACACGTCGGCTAACTTGACCGCCCCAAAGTCATTGCTTTGCGCAATGCCTTGGAATCGACTATAGATCTGACGCTCAAACACAAATCGGTCGTCGTCGCTCGTGAAGTCAAAGCAAGGATTGAATAGCGTCTTGAGAGTAGCCGCGTCCGATGCCGACGGACTCGTGAGCAACCTGTGGACTTCTTCCATCGCCGCCCGCACCGTGTTGACACAGGTATCCTTGCCAAAGTACCTACGAGAGAAAACGATACAGTGAGTCGTAAGAGAGTGTAAATACGGAGTCAAAATGGACAGATAAAGTCATTTGGTCTCTATACGCTTTTCGAAGAACCTTTTCAAAACCGAATACACATTGAGGAATATGGGGGGATATAGAGTAAGTACACACACAAAGGACATGCCGTCGATTTGTTGATAGTTGCTACTAGTAAACTTGGATCATTCCTTCAAATTGCAATCAATTCTCTTTAATTAAGGCTATGGTAGTTCAATAATAAAGCGGCTATTAAAACAGCCCCCCCTGTTGTAGTACAGTACTGTACTAGCTTGTAAGAAACGGGAAAACCAAAAATAATTTCAAAGAGCAAAGACCTAATGGTGAATACTAGTACTAATAATAGCATGTTAAAGTTTCATAACGAAGCCGTATAACGTTAGTGAAATGTGTGTATATTGTTCACACTTTCGGATGAATAGTATGCATAGTCATATATTTCCATACAATCGATATACGAAAAACAGTTTTATTGTAATGGCCTGTTCCAAGTAGATTCATAACCAAATATATCTGCTGTGGGTTGAACGCACACGTTTAAACACACAAACCGTGTCACACACATGCACACAAAACCCCCCTACAAAGTACAAAAGTATACACACGCACCGAAATCCTTCAGACACGACGTCCGAGTACTCAAAAAAGTCGATTTTGGCTTCGATGGGGGCTGAACTCGCGACCGCCCCGACAAATCGCGACGGGTACAGTAGCTTGACCCAAGCCGCGAGCATGCCGGGGTAGCTGCCCCCGAAGGCGACCCATTTGGAGTCGGCGGTCAAGTTGCGCGTGCGGATGATGTGGTCTTGAAACGTCACGATGTCGGCCAACGCTTGGTCCGAGCGCAGGAATTTGAGGTTCGCATTGGAAAAGTCGGGGCGCGGCTGGGACTTGCCATAGTACCGGTGCTCGAGCGACACCACGAGTGCCTTGTGTTTTTTCGCAAGTTCGTTCAGAAACAACCCCGTGGACACGACGGTTGTGTTGCGCGCGACGTTTTCGCCGTTGATGTACAAGAACACGGGCGACCCGGGGCCCCCGTAGAATTGAGCACTGGAAAAGTACCTCTGCGCCCACACCGCTGGGTTAGTGGCGTCCGAGTGGTCTAATTTTTGTGTCTTGAACCATTCGTCCTGGATGAACGGGGGGGAAGAGGATGCGCTTTCGGTGGCGGCGGATTCAAATTTCTCCACCTGGTCCAGTACGTTGAATCGAGTAAACACGTCGATGTCTTGCGCGGACATGGCCATCGTAGCGAGCGACGACAGGAGCACGATACCACGCACCATCGTATATGCAGTTGTTGTATCGATCGGTGCAGAAGGCCAATGCAAAAGTGAAGACTACGTCGAGATGCATGATTGAGGTTGGCTGTAGAAAGGACGTTTGTATAACGTTGGACATACGGTGTTACAGTATTGCGGCCACTCACTTGTGTCCGTGGCCACTGCACCTACCTGTAGCAGGTTCACACAAGGCCATGTTTCAACCAAGTTGCATGGATTTGATTGAGTATATACAGTCCTACTCAATAATGTACTTCGTTGTCACTAGGTAGTTGATGCATATTTATTTCAGCATCAGCTGCCTGCTATACGACGATAACGCATTTTGAGTATGTTGAAGTTCACTCGTAGACTAATGATCATCCACTTATTCGTATTGGATGGCTATAATTAACCAATGTTGTACTGTAACGGTATGTACTCACTTGATACCTTTGTCAAAAGTTCATTGTTCGTGTGAGCACCACACACCACAGATATGTACTATACTTGGTGCAATGTAGCCCTAACACTGGCACGCATCGATAATACAATCGATTGATTATTCTTGATTTGTTTTGGCGATGTTGTGATTGAACGATGGGGAAGTTGGACTGGTACGGTCGTCCTGACAATTCATATACGTACCGGTACTATTAATAGTATCAGTTTCACCGATCATTGACAACATGACCTTGTCAACGCGCTGAGAGAGTACTACGTACCGTATAGTGTATATGCATTGCGACGGATTAATCTATTGCGACTCCTGTAATAACTGATAATTTTCTTGTAATAACTGATATTTACTTGTGACCATGTTGAATATACTTCAAATTTGTATGACGCAATGGATTAGCAAAATTTTGAGAACGAGTGTCGGCTGGTTGTGAAATATCACCTGTCGCAATACATATACACTATACGGTACATTACAGTAGGTAGGTATACCAGGTACTAACACAGTATATCGTCATCAGACATTATCACATGTATCGTACGTACTATTATACTACTATAAAGTACTACTATTAATAGTACGTAGTAGTATATTGTTGGTTAACATCTCGTAGCATGAACGTTATTTATCTTTTGGGGGTTCCACCGACTTATTACGGCAGTGATGATCGTGTAACGCTAGGGGGAAAGTGGGAACAGGTTTGATCCTCGCCAGTTACAGCAGGGGTTCAGGTTTCCAGGGTTTCGGGTTCGCAGTTAGGGGTACAGTACTGTACTGCGGCGAATTCCAACCAACCTGAGATTTGACATGTGTTTGGTGCAACTAAAGATTGCCTCAGTGGAGGGGGCAGGAAGCAGCAGCAGACACGTGTGTGGATGGAGGAAGAACTGAAAGTATATTAGTTCTGACGGGAGAGAAAAACAGCCGACTACACTATGATTGGCCACGACATCTGTTGTTTCGTGACAAATGTCTGCGCTGTCTTCTACCTGAGGAAAAGCCTCTAAAAGGCACAACAACCTCCTAAACAGCAAGCAGAATGCTGCTACCTGACTGACAGGGCAGTGGGGATGTTCTCTAACAGAACAGGGTGTTCTGACTGCCTCTTTGATCTTTGATCAGTTCACGAAATCATGATACGTATGTGCAGCTGTTCCGTAGCATGATGCAAACAGGTGTTGGTACATCATACCGCTGTCACTTTTGGGCTCCCAGAAGAATAATTCCCTCATTAAGTAAAACAGTTCCACTGTTGTTTTGACCCGAAATACAGTTTGTACTGTTTCACAGTCAATGAGGGAATTATTTCATCCGGATAACACCTTTTCTCCAGTAGCCCTGTAACCTGGGACTCCGTCCTACCCCCGGTGAGTATAAGATGCTAAATCTCCGGGGTGACGTGGCCTGAGCATACAAAGTTCCTTATAAATCTCATTAAAACAGTATTTCGGGTCAAAACAACAGTGGAACTGTTTTAATGAGGGAATTGTACCTCCCAGAATTGCCAGTACCGCTACGCTATTTCACGTTAAAGTTCTTGCGATCCTACCAGGTATGTTAGGTGATTTAGAGCGCGTCTGGCAACACTTCTTTTCTCAGAAATATTGTAATAAAGTACCCCAAAACGCCATTTTGAGGCAAAATAGAATAATGCAAATCTGCGTCACGCGTCTGGCAACAAAATGGGAGGATCATTTTTTATTGAGATATTGCCAGTATTATGGCGTTTTAAAAATACGGCTCCAAGGTCCATTTTGATTATTGAATAATGGTGTTGGACTATGAGTTGTTTCGGATTCCACATCATTTACAACCAGGAACACACGCACCATGAGCTCCAACGCAGTTTGGTTGAGCTGTGTGACCTGGTGGTCAGTTAATCACATCGTAAAAGAAACATGTCACACTTCTGCATTGCGAGGGGAATCGTGGATTGACGAGTTGCTCCAAGGAAATGTCCGACGGTTCCGCAATCAACTGCGCATGCTACCTGGTACATTCATTGCACTTTTGGCGATGCTTATGAACAAGGGAATGCTAAGCCCAAGTCGATACGTGTCAGCCAAAGAAAGTCGGCCACGTTTCTCTACGTCGTTGGTCATGCCGCTTCAAGCAGACAAGTACAAGAACGATTTCAACGAAGTGGTTGGACGGTCACGCAATCAATGAACGAGGTACAATATACTTGTTCTCATCATCATGACGGCTAATTATAGGTTTTGTCGGCTATGGTCAGGTTGTACCCAACGGTCATGCGTCCCCCTGGGAGCAGTATTCCGTGGGAAATTCACTCGAACCCCAAGATGTTTCCATTTTTCAAGGGCAGCGTCGGCGCCCTTGACGGCATGCACGTACCGGTGATCCCTCCGCCATCTGGAGCAAAGCCGTTTCGAAATCAAAAGGGTTATATGAGCCAGAACATCCTAGCGGCGTGCACATTCGATTTGAAGTTTACTTACGTATTGGCTGGATGGGAAGGTTCTGCATCAGATGGGCGTGTTCTCGAGGATGCGCTGCTGAACAAAGGATTTGTTATTCCCCCGGGAAAGATGTATCTTGGTAAAAATATATTTTAATATCTATTAATAACATAGTTTAGGTGACACTGTATACGGTCTACGCCTTAATCTGTTGACGCCTTATCGGGGAGTCCGTTATCACCTACGCGAGTGGTCACTAGGTAATCAGAAGACCCAATCTCCTAAAGAGTTGTACAACCTCCGCCATGCTCAGCAACGTAACTGTATCGAGCGCATCTTTGGCGTGCTTAAGAAGAGGTTCCGTATCCTTGTAACCGCACCGGAGTACCTATTCCCAAGCCAAGTCAACCTCGTCTACGCTCTATGTGCCATGCACAATATCATCGACGGCCTTGAAAGCGATAGACATTACCTAAACAAGGCTGAGCGAGAGCGATACCTGGGGGTGGAAGGGAAAATTCCCCCGTCGCCATGGCTCCATCCAAAAGCAACGCCAGGTTTGTAAACAGAGGGAACGGAGTCGTTCGGAACTTTTTGTAGTTCTTGTTGAGCTATACAAACATGATTAGACTTGGTATGCGGATATCTCAAATACCATAGTAATGGACGCCCAAACCGTTTCGGGGGCTGTAGGAAGGCCGAGGGCATCGTCCCACCCAAAGCCAGAGTTGTCGGGCAGATACTTGACATCCTTGTAATCTCGCTTGAGCTACAACGCATACATTAGAATGATTCATAGTGCAGCGGCAGTATCATTACGCAGTCTATACGAGACTTCAGTTGTGCTGGCAAGTAGTTGACCCCATACTCGAGGTTGAACGCATTACACACGGCTCGCCAGGCCTCCTTCTTGAACCCGTTGTCTACTCGTTTGCCGGAGTCAGCTTGGGCTTATAGCTGCGTGACAAGAAACAAATCGCGGGCGTGCGACCAGGTGGCACGGCTGTCCTTCATTCCCAACGATGTTGCCATTTCAAATTGTTCTGAAAGAAAAGAAGAATCACGTGCCTGGCAAAAAGTGCCAATATTTTCACACAAAATGGAGTTTTCGTCGTTATTCAATAATTACTGATTGAGATGTTTGCCCCCGCACAAAATGCCATTTTATTCTCCAACTGTTACCAGACGCGCTCATTGAGCGCGTATTGTCATCGGAAAACGTAGGCCAGGTAGCTCACTACTTTTGATTGGTTAAAATGCTATTCTTTTCACCCAATTGTCTCAACTTGCTTCTACTTGCCTCCGCTTGCTTCCACTTGTGTACAAACTAATTCCATTCATTTTCATATTTAGCATTTTAACCAATCAAAAGCAGTGAGCCACCTGGCCTACGTTTTCCGATGACAATACATTCATTAGTTTTTGTTGGCCAGATATACAATAATCAAGAGAGACGTAGGACAGGCGGCCTACATTTTCGCATTCACCGCTGAGTACAGGTATACAACAGCTCATATATTTGGCGAGTGGCAATGGAGGAATCGAATTTGTAGGCCATCCAGTAAGCGCATCACCAGTGGTTAGCGATAGCTAACCACGGAGATCCGCTTAACCCCTAGTAGGAGCTGAGGTGGTCAGAGTACACAAAATATGCCTCATATAACTAGAGTTTATTGGTTTGAACGGTTTTCAGTCTTGGTTGAACGGTATCCAGATTTATTGAACGTTTTTCAGGGTTTGTCCTTTCTCAAGTAGTATTAATAGGTACTACTCTGGCCCAAAATAGTTGTTAGGTAGTTTTTTCTATTGGCGGAATTTTTCTAAATATCACCCGTTTTGCGATGCGATTGGTGCATCAAAAAGCGCAAGATCTCTGCTTTGATTGGGTAGTCTACAAGCTTTCTAGAGCATTTTGGCTGTCGAGATATTGGGCGCCAAAGTTGGCGTGTCAAATGAGCCTAGTAGAAACATCTCGAAACATGATCATTACACGATTGTTCATCGCCCCCAAACTGCACCCTCTATGACACTACCCTCACTATGCATGCATGCCCCATCAACGTTCGTTGCGTCGAGCCTCGTCCCGTCGACGCGCCGCGAAGTGCAAGCACCCACATCCGCTCCGATGAACGTCAAGCAATGTACGAAACACTGCTTGGCGTTTCATCGCAAGGCGTACTACCCCGGATCCACGATCCATTGTTCGTGTTGCTGCCCAATTCGGTTGCCACGCGCTAACTGTGTCGCGAATTTGGTCGCGCGGACTGCAGTCCATCCAAGAGGGACGCATGTGTGCGGATGTCGCTTCGAGAATTCGCGGTAAACCTCTATGATGTGATATATTTATCGAATGTTGCGAATATAGAGTTTTAAGATTTTACTGCTTTAGGTAATTCTGGACGCAAGCGAAAGCGAACGAACGAAGAAATTGAAGCAGCGATTCGTCAAGTACCCCAGGCGTCACGGCAGACCCTGAGGTCCATGGCCTTCAAGAGCAATATACACAAGTCGACGATTATGCGACACATGAAAGAAGCGGCGAGGTTGAAGGCACGATCAAGTTACGTCAAGCCCTATCTTACTCCAAGCAACCAACAAGGGCGTCTGCGTTTTGCCATGTCTTTTCTTCAGCCTCTGTCAGATGGGAGTTATTTCTTTTTCAAATATGCACGAATATGTGCATATTAATGAAACATGGTTCTATTTGACTAGGGTTAAAAGAAAATTCTATGTGTACGAGGACGAAGCTGTCGCAGCTCGATTTGTGAAGTCGAAACAGTTTATAACAAAAGTTATGTTCTTGGCGGCCATTACCCGCTCTCGTGTTGACTTAAACGGCGCTATTTTCGATGGCAAAATCGGTGTTTGGCCGTTTGTCGATAAAGTGCCTGCACGGCGCAACTGTAAAAATCGGTCAAAAGGCACGATAGTGACGACTCCATAATCAGTCGATGCTAAAGTATACTTGGACATGGTTTTAAATAATGTTGTGCCTGCGATACAGTCAAAGTTCCCACCGCAGACTGGTGTTATAATTCAACAAGATAATGCCAGCCACCGCAAGTGCTTGACAACAAGTATGCTGAAGTCGCGAAGTATCAACGGAATTGAAGTGAAGAATCAGCCGCCGAATAGTCCAGATTTTAACGTTTTAGACTTAGGATATTTTAACTCTATTCAAAGCCTGCAGAATCAAAAGTGCACTCGAACGATCGAGGATCTTATTGATGCTGTAGAAACCTCGTTTTATGAGTTGCCTGTGGATACGGTGTCAAAAACTTTCATTTCACTTCAAAAGGTGATGGAGAAATGCATCGACATACATGGAAGCAACGAATATAAGCTCCCTCATATGAAGAAGGACGCACTGATCTCAGACTTCACGTCCTTCAACGTTGAGTGTGATGCCTATACATACGAGAGTGCTTTGATCCACTTGAACTATCGACTGGGCGAGGAAGCGTCCATGGAGGCACAAGTGAATTCACAAGAACAAGCTGTTGTGACAAATTAATAAAATGTCATTGTATTTTTGGCCTTGCATATGCGTTTGTGGAGTTACATACAAATATCAAGCTGTTTCGAATTGGTCCCTCATACTTTAATCAAGTCAAAATGAACCTAACAACTATTTTGGACCA